AGGTAGAATTTCTTTTTAATGCCAAATCTTCAGACACTATTGAAGAAAGACCACTTTAATCAAGTCTAAGGACACTCACACTGCAAGTCTACAGGAAGGATGATTTACATCTGAGAATTTATCACTTTGGGATCCTTTTTTTTCTTTTTTCTCTTTTTGAGATGGAGTCTCACTCTGTCACCCAGGCTGAAGTGCAGCATCACGATCTCGGCTCACTGCAACCTCTGCCACCCATGTTCAAGCAACTCTCCTGCCACAGCCTCCTGGGTAGCCGGGATTACAGACATGCATCACCACGCCTGGCTAATTTTTTGTATTTTTAGTAGAGACATGGTCTCACCAAGTTGGACAGCCTGGTCTCAAACTCCTGACTTCAGGTGATCCACCTGCCTCCCAAAGTGCTGGAATTACAGGCGGGATCCTTTCTAAAAGTAAGGCGAAGATGATATTCTTCACTTTGGATGGATTGTGGGTTTTACTTTTATCTTGATTATCCTATAAAATTACCAAATCCCAAATTGTGGCTCCATCTTTAAGCTGTTTCTACTTGATCTGAAAATATAAATGGCTCCTCACCAGACTTAGGTTTCTGGGTTTTCACTTTTCTTAGGTTTATTCTAGAAATTCCTCACTCTCTTGTTATGTCTTTGAAGCTTACTATTTAGTTTATTTTATCCAGAGTTTTAACATTATTCTCTATGGGAGTACTGTCCTAATTATCTACCCACCATTACCATAAGATGTATGTTCCACTGATTTTTTTTTTGAGATGGAGTCTCGTTCTGTCACCCAGGCTGGAGTGCAGTGGTGTGATCTCAGCTTACTGCAACTGTTGCTTCCTGGGCTCAAGCGATTCTCCTGCCTCAGCCTCCTGAGTAGCTGGGACTATAGGTGTGCGCCACCACACCCGGCTCATTTTTTTTGGAATTTTTAGTAGAGATGGGGTTTCACCATGTTGGCCAGGATGGTCTCGATCTCCTGACCTCATGATCCACCTGCCTCGACCTCCCAAAATGCTGGGATTACAGGCATGAGCCACCGCGTCTGGCCTCCACTGATCTTATTGATTCTGAGTAACCCTAATTCTTTGAGCATCAGAGACAATCCTAATCTAGGTCTTCATGTGCAAGCTGTTACAGAGGGACCTACAGAGAATATTAGTTATCTCCTTTAACACAAGAAAGAATTGCTCTTCCCAGGAAAGAATTCTTGTTTCCAGGAAGAAGGTCTTCTTTGCCTACTGGAGACAAATTCTGGGAATTCAGGCTTAAAACTTGGAGTTGATCCTTCTGGAGAACTGGAAGTCAGAAAGTCTTTCTTTCATTTTTGTTTCTTGAGATTGAGATGTCTATCCTTGGGGTGTGTGTGTGCGTGTGCGTGTGTGTGTGTTTGCATGCATGCAAGTGTGTGTGTTTAATTTTTGAGCAGTGGTATGCAGTTCTCTTCAGTGTTCACCACGATACATCCTGCTAACTGTAGTAGAAAAGATAGTCTAGGCATCTTCAGATGTATGAAATCAGGAGGGTATGAACAATATAACACCATTTTGAAATTAAAAAAATGTCCAAGTGCCTAAACTTAATGGTATGTAAAGAGAATTATGAGGAGGGAAAGAAAATATAAAAATATGAAAAGAATTAGGCAAAGAATGTGATTGAAAGTATAAAAATAAGACTCAAACCAATAATTATAACAAAACATCCAGTATATGGAGTGATAACTGCTTAAAGAATTAAAGAGGAGGGGACAAATTTAGATGCATCTCAATAAAATATTTTATTGGTAGAATAAGCAAGAACCAAATCTAGTTGCCAAAGAATAGGTCAACAGTGCCACTGTTAGATTAAGAATCATGGGGGAAAAATGAGTGTTGAGCCATAGTCTAGCTATAGCTTCCCCAAGAATTTACAGGAATTCTCTTCTAGGGTACTGAATCCATAGGTGAATCTCTGGAAGGAGCACTGGTATCTGTTAGGGCTATTGTGTGGGCTGGAACGGAATATTCATTGTGTAAGAATATGTAAGAATGTACTCATTGCCTGAAATCTTTTGCTCTAAAAGTTAATCATGGCCAATGCTAGCTTTCAGAAATAAGCCAGATACAAGTCTTTTTTTGTAGAACAAAAGCTGATCCAGGTACCAGGGCACAGAAATATGAACAGAAACATCATCAGCACACGATCCATACATTTTTATCCTTGAAGAGATAAAAGGAGAGGAGAGGAAGGGGGACACAATTGAAATGGATATATATTCATATAATTTTTGAGGTATTGGACAGTATTTTTACCCTATGTCTGGTTAAAATTAGCAAGCAAGTTTTTCTACAGGAGGCAGTGCTGTTTTATGCTGCAATTTAAATATAAAATTGATTTGTGCTATCAAATCACTCAAATTACATAACTGAGGTTACAAGGCCTAACCTTGAGCTATGGGGGAAAAAGCATCCTTTAAGCCACAGACTAAAAAAAGACTTTACTGAAGGGAATGGTGAATGCCAACTGTTCTGTAGTAGGAGAAAAGGATAAAATAACTGAAAGGGGGTGGAAATACAGTAATTTGGGGGGACCCTGTGCTTGAAGGGAAGTAAATTTCCTTAGGGCAGGAGAGTATCATTAATACAATGGCATGCTTGCATGAAATAATTTTCTGTTATCTAGGGTAGAAAATTTAGAAAATGGTCAAAAGTATGGTAGTTGGAAACCTAATATTAAAAAGGTACAGGAAAGTCAACCTTACAATTCATTTTCCAAACATTTGTTGATCCCACTTTATATGCCAGGCACTGGGTTGTATAACAGGGATACAAAGATGGAAAAAAAAAAAGATCATAATCAAAGTAACTGAAAAAGAAAACCACTAAAGAAATGTTATTGAATGTAAAGGAAAACTGTAACTTCTTTAATAATATATTATTCAAATTCAAAGATGATAGCACATTTTGAGATTCAGATTGGTAATGTATCTTTGATTACACTTTGCAAACGTATTTGACAATTAACCATATACTACTACTTTTTATTACTGAGAGGAGGCAGGACTCGACTCTGGAGGTGGGGATTGGGCTCCAGACCACACTGAAGACGAGCTGAAAGGGAAGAGGTTTTATGAAGTCTCTCCATAAAACACACTCACCAGTGCCATGTCAGGTTACCATTGCTAAGGCAACACCTGGAAGTTATGGCTCCTTTCCATGGCAACAATCTCATGACCTGGAAGTTATCACCTTTTTTTTTTTTTAGAAATTTTGGCATAATCCACCCCTTAATTTGCATATCATTGAAAGTGGGTATAAATATGATTGCAGAACTGCTTCCGAGCTGCTACTCTGGGCACACTGCCTATGGGGCAGCCCTGCTCCACAAAGAGCAATACGTTTGTTGCTGCTGTTGTTCTCTACCACTTTGATAAAACTTGTTCTCTACCACCACCAGCAGCACTGGTTCGTGCGCAAGTGGCCATGGACGACCACACTGTGCCCTCCCTGCTGCCCCCTCCGATCATCAAAGGAATCCCTGCCTGGCTCGAGGCCCCTACAAGGCCCAGTATGGCTGCTGAGGAAGCGAAAGGCAGGAATTAAACATGGGTTTTACTTGAGCCACGCTTCAAAAAGTCCAACTCCCTGGAACGTCACCAAGGCCCTCAGGACCCCTGACCATAGCCTGCCCGAAGCCTGCAGCCCACCTGGAACCTCGTGCAGTCCTTAGCTTGACCTGGTATTTGTGCGCATGCTTGCAGACCCCTCCTTCCCAACGTGTGCTGGGGAAGACCCTAGGGCGCCTGCGCACACTCCCTTCCTCCTCCTTTTCCCCTTGATTAGGGCTAATGTGAATACCTGCTTCCTGTGTCTCCATGATCTCACTAGAGTTGGCTGATTTAAAGACAATGAGTTCCCTTAAAGGGTTCTCATTATGCTCAGAAGTAGAAATAAGGAAATCCTATTGTTTGATTCGCACAACCAGTCAGCCTCACATTTTCTAATCATCTGGCATTCAAGAACCTTCCTGGACAGGCCCATCCCGAAAAATACCGCATGCTTTTGCCTCACAGTAATAGGATGGTCAGGTGTCTGCAGTCTCAGCCTATGCACCTGGTGCTCTGCCTCTTCTCCATAACCAGAGTGGAGCTGGAGATACAGACTCTGTGTGTGTGTGTGTGTGTGTGTGTGTGTGTGTGTGTGTGTGTGTGTGACAAAAATATGAAAAACCATATAGGAGATATTATACGTTATTTTCCCAGTATCCTACTTTTTTTCTTTCTTTCTTTCTTTTTTTTTTTTTTGAGACAGAGTCTCCCTCTGTCGCCTGGGCTGAAGTGCAGTGGCCGGATCTCAGCTTACTGCAAGCTCCGCCTCCTGGGTTTACGCCATTTTCCTGCCTCAGCCTCCCGAGTAGCTGGGGTTACAGGTGCCCGCCACCTCGCCCGGCTAGTTTTTTGTATTCTTTAATAGAGACGGGGTTTCACCGTGTTAGCCAGGACAGTCTCGATCTCCTGACCTCGTGATCCGCCCGTCTCGGCTTCCCAAAGTGCTGGGATTACAGGCTTGAGCCACGCGCCCGGCTATCTTTCTTTCTTTCTTTCTTTTTGAAACAGATTCTTGCTCTGTCATCCAAGTTGGAGTGCAGTGGCACGATCTCGGCTCACTGCATCAAGCGATTCTCCCATCTCAGCCTCCTGAGTGGCTGGGATTACAGGCGAGTGCTACCACGTCTGGCTAATTTTTGTATTTTTAGTAGAGATGGGGTTTCACCATGTTGGTCAGGCTGGTCTCGAACTCCTGACCTCAGGTGATCCGCCTGCCTAGGCCTCCAAAAGTGTTGGGATTACAGGCGTGAGCCACCTTACCTGGCCCCTACTTCATTCTGGAATGCCACGAACCATAATATGTTCTAGAAAAGTGGAAACTTATTTTCTGCTTTGTAACAGTACAGTTACATTCATCTTTTTGGTAGTAAATCATTGTACTAATAAACTGATGTCGCAGAAGTAACATTAACATGTATAATGCCCACATTTCTTTTATTGATGGTAACAGTCAACAAGAACCACAAAAGAACATATCTACTCATGTATATGAACTAGAAATTTATCAAGGTGGGGCAGTCTAAATTTTTTAAAAAGTTCAAAAATAAAGGCACTTGTTTCCCCTGTGCCACGCATTTGTCCCCACCAGAAGCTACTTGACATTACACTACCAAAACTACCAAAGGAAGTTATGTTAGACAAATTGAAAACTCTGCATACACATCATTTAAAATGAGTTAAAAACTTAAAAGCTCTGAGCCTTGGCAAAGTTGCAAAGATGATGCAGCATTCAAAGTTTTCTGTGTCATTAAAACTGTGCCTGAAACTACAGGATTCCTTCCGTTGGAATAAAGTTGTCCTTTCAGCTCCAAGAATTCAGCCTCTCTTGACCAAGTTGCCTTCGGTTTTAGGACCTGCAGTGTCAGTCAGGCCCGACCTCCGCAAAGGCCGCCGACCAGCGCCTGTGGAGCAGCACGCAGAACAGGAGTGCGCCCCCCAGCAGCAGTGCCAGGCTCAGCCTCCAGCTCCAGGGCGGCTTCGGCCACGCCCACAGCCCGGCCCGCAGCCAGGCGCCCCATGGCCTCCTCCGCATGCGGGCGGCCACGCCCTCCGCCACCCTCTTGAGCCGCTCCTCCGGGCCTGCCCAGCGCAGGAGATGCGCCAGCTCGTACAACTCGTTGGAGTAGTGGGCGCCCTTGTGCTCCCGCACCAGGCCCTCCACCAGCCCCAGCAGCTGCTCCGCCTGGGCTTCTTGCTCCCGGCCGGTGGCCCGGTTGTCAAAGGCACAGACACGGCCCCCGCACTCGGCCACCAGCTCGCGCAAGGCCCGGTTCTCTGTGCTGCACACGTAATCTTGCAGGGAGCCCCCAGCCAGGTCCTCCTTCCTGGTGAAGACGATGACAGTCCATTTCAAGACGTCCTCCCCGAACATGTCCCTCACCTGCCTCACTGCTTGCTGGTCCTGGGCGGTGAACCGGCCCAGCTGGGTCACCAGGAGCAGCGCGTGGGGCCCGGGGGCCGAGAGCAGGTAGCAGCGACCTCTCTCGTCACAGCCGGTGTCTGTCTTAGACACTTCGGAGCTGAAAATGTCCGGAGTGTCCACGACTTCCACGTGGTACTTGTTCCACCTGCGGCTGGCCGTGGTGCAGGCCCTGGTCACAGACGTGGCCCCCAGCCTGGAGAGGAACCGTTTCTGGCCCAGGATGCTGTTCCCAGTGGCGCTCTTTCCGGCCCCTGTTCTCCCAACAAGGAGGAGCCTCAGCGTGGGATCCTGCCGGGACCAAGTGGTCTCTTCTAAACCTGTGAGACCAAGTGTTATAATCTTACTTAAGTTTAACTAACTTTCCCTTGGGAACTGGCATCTTCTTGCCTTTAGCATAAGTGGTTAAGAATAGAGATTTGAGCCCGTAGGCGTTCATTTCCACCTTTTCCTTTTGTATTTAGGTTGTCTGCCTGCACCTGTAGATGCTCCAACTACAGCTGATTATCATAGAAATGTTCCTTTATCAATCCAGCCCAATAGTTCTGACATTTCTGGTCAGCCACACACATGCAGACATATTTATTTAGTATTTGAAAATTTCGATGCACTCTGAAATATTCTCCCAGAGACTATCCCCAGAGAAAGGCCGTGGGGGCAGTACTGCCCGGTAGGGAAGAGCTGTGTGGAGTTCCAGCTACCCTGGTTTGAATCACAGCCCCACCATGTGCTAGTTGTGTAACCTTGGGGAAGTTGCATAATCTAAGTATTAAGCCTCTTCGGCAAAAATGGGAGTGATAATAGAGGCCTGTTTCTCAGAGGCCTGTTGAGGGGGTGAGATAAGCCCTCTTTCCTTCTTCCCTCCTTCTCTTCCTCTTTCTCTCCTTCCTCTCTTCTTTCTCTCTTAAACTGGCTGCCTAAAAAGAATATCTGTTTTAACCCTCTATCCTTGTTCTGTAAACATTCTACCTCGCAAATCTTATGTTCACTGTAGTGCATGATTTGATCCCCTCTGCACTTCTTCTGTGGTGATCAGAGTAGGCTTATTATCCTTATTTTATACCTCGGAACCAAGGGAGCCGGCTAGTCAAAGAACTTAACTTTTCACAGCAGAGATCCAGCTAAAATGCAAATCTCAGGGCTAGTGCTGTCATCCCAGGGTTGAGACATCTCTGGAACTTATCTCTATTCAGTCTTGAGGAAGCCCCATTCTCATTATCTTAAGCTGAAGCCTAGGGGGGCAAGTATGAGGTGTAGAGATATGGTCTTACCATAGATATTTTCTTCATCTCTCGCCATCTTCCTTCCTCCCATGCTTACCTGGAAGGGTACCAAACACAATTTGTTAATTCATTTATTTATTCCTCAAATGGGCATAACCATCTACAGTGTGTCAGGCAAAGTCCGAAGAGCTGGTGACAGCACAGTGGAAAGACATGGTTTTTGCCTGCAAGGATCTAAAAATCTAGGTGTATGTCTTGGCAGAAGGGCAGGTGGCTAGAGAGAAGACAGGTAAATTTCGTCAAATATAATACATTGTGCTAATCCTTCTTTAAGTACTTGAGAGAATGGCCTTGGAAGGGCCAACACCCTGCCCTTGAGTTGGTATGATGCTGTGAGAACACTGGGTGGGGCTGGATTTTTCTTTTCAGGAACTCCAAAAGCAAAAAGCAGAGGGTAGGTTATAATATTTACTCAATGCCAATGGGCTTTAGGCATTACTTTTTCCCCGGGTGATTCTATATCACTGACATAAGCTAGAGATATCAGGGGATTCAGCAGCCGGGGGAAGATTAGGTAAACCCTCAGAACCAGAAAATTTGCCCAGTGACTTAGGCACCCACCTTCAAGTGGCCGGCCTGGGAAAAAAGAAGAAAATTGGGATTTTTCTTTTGGAAATTGAACAGATCTCCCAAGTAGATCTGGAGGGCCGCTGACTCTGTTTTCTTAAAATCAAATAGTTTTGTTTGTCTAGAGATGTCTAAATACGATGTCTGTGCTGGAGAGACTTGAACACTCCCCTTCAACTCCTGAAGTTGTCTTCCCTTCCAAATCTGATTATGCCGAAATCTAACATTATGTAATACAGCTAAACACTCTCTGATCCAGTTTGCCTAATCACACAAGCTCCTGAACACAAATGCACTTCTCCCTGCATCTATGTCTCCAGCCTCATTCCCAGACAATCCCCCACTCGGTCAGCTACTTCACGATCAGCAGATTTCAGGGCCTTGCCAACCCAGTCTGCTTCCCCTCCTAGGACTATTGATCCTCCCCGACCATCTGTCTGTGCCTCACCATCCATGTCAAACTCTTTGTGTCTCGCACCCTGGTCACTCAGGTACCTGTGTTCTCTCCCATTGGCACCACACATGAAGGAAGGGCGGAGACAGAGGCTGGCTAAGTAACTTGTCTTTGATCGAAGGACTTGGAGAACAGGTTTGCCTCATCCTCTATTAAATCTAGAGCTGTTTCTGTTTCTGCAGGAACTCTCCTGGCCCTGCCCAAAACCTTCAATAAGATTCACTGCATGGGCCTTATGTGATTAATTATTTTGCGTGTAGGAATGAACAGACGATCATCAATGACATCAGAGCAGAAATGAAGAAACAGCTGCAAGATTCGGAGAAAATAATTTAGATGAAGCAAAATGTCCTTGTCAACCAAGAAAATGAGAATGTGTGCTGCAGGGAGTCCACAGAACTCTGGATAGCCCGCTGGAATTTTCCATAGTTTGGAACAGGGGTTGAAATGATTTTAAATAGATTTTTTTAGAGGAAAGTAAGACCCAGCTGAACTCTGAGGTGACAAATGGCCCTTAATCATTGAGGAATGTACACTTGTAGGATCCTATATTCCTAATACTTTAAGAGACCTCAAAGTTTATTGAGTTCTTTGCCACTCAAATGTGCTGTTTCTCAGAATTACGTGAATGTTCTTTAAAAATGTACAGCTCTTGGATCCATCCTCAGAGATTCTGATTCATGAATTAAATGTTTCTGATGTCCACAGCTCAGAACTTGGACATCAGTCATTTTTGCAACCCCCTTTATTGTACAGGTGGGAATTTAAGGTGTCCCCGTTACTGGAGCAGGAGAAGCTTGAATTAAGGGAGCAGATGTTAAAGGGACCATCCAGGGAAAGAGGATGAAGACCAAGATATTAATCTCAGATATCTCCTCAGGGGCCCCTTTTGTGGACAGTGAGGAGGAGAGTTCAAATGTACCCAGTCTTGTCACGTTGTGACTCACTCTGAGGTTAGATGGCTTACGGGGCCACAGAAGTATCTTTTGCCTTTGCTCAATAGGGAGCTTGAGGAATGTTTAATGCCTTTCAAACTGTATTTTATTCCTGGAGGTGGTTCCAGCACACTCTTCTCTTACTTTATTAAGGGAAGTGGGAGGAGACAGGTTTCACTCCCCACCAAGAACGTGTGTGCTCCAGAGCTGGAGAAGATGATCCTAAAATTTCCTCTGAACTTTGCCTACTTAAAAACCTGGAAGCATGTCTTTGATTGTTCCAGAAATTGCTCACCTGCGTGATGCCTTGTAGAATGCAAGTGCTCAGGCAGTAAACACTCTAGGAATCACGTTCTTTCTGGTTCTCAGAGGACCCCCGCCCCCGCCACTCCCAGGCTCAGGCTCACCTTTCCTGGTGACAGGCTCTGAAGTTGGCCACAAGAAGCCCCAACCTGCTGCCTTCCCTTCGGCTGTGAGTGCAGAAGGCTCTTTCCTCTCAGCACACAGAGGAAATCACTCAGACTTCAGAAATCAGGAAGCTCAGGGTGGGCCCCATGGTTACGATTTAAAGAGACAGAAACATTTCCCATTGAGCTGTGAATTGGCAATACTTCTCCTACCGACTCTACTTTCTGCTGTGACTGAGGTTATATGTCTCCAGCAGGACCTCATGATATCAAATATCTTGCCATGCCCTAAGAAGGGAGGAATGTTTAGTCCCTGAGGCCTGACTGTTCTTCTAAAATTGATTACTAAGCTAACCTTCAGTTGCCTTTTGCCCTTTAGGGACGTTTCCCCATATAAAATAGGCCCAGAGAGTCTCCTGCCCCAGAACAAATAACATGATAGCTGTTCTCATCATCTGTCCATTAATTAGACATCCATGTGATCAGTGCCAGCCCCAGATCCAGTCTGCCAGAAAAACTTGGAGGCAAAGTCTTATCATTCTCTGAGAGAGGAGGGCTTTCCCAGCTACTGATGGACTTGAGGGTGAACTGGTATGTTGAGAATGAACACCTTTGCACTATCTTCAAATTAGCCTTATTAGGAGGCTTAGTCTAGTCATCTATGTTGGTATCACCAGTTCTAGTTATTCTATATTCTCTCAAGAGCATCATGAGGTCATCAAAAAAGCGAATCATTGGGTGGTGAGAAGGTTACAGAAGAACAGGCTGCATATCTGGTTAGGTCATTAGCCAGCTATAGGACCTCACTTAACTCAAACTTTCTGGAGTTGGCTTTCTGGAGTTCACTATATGGGGAAGACAGTAACCCAAGTGTTACCCTACTGGATAGGATCTGCTTTTTAACCTTTTTCATGCCAGTCCACTTTTTTTCTGGTAGGGAAGAGACCCAACTTTTACTGTTTCCCATCTTTTTGGGTGCACAGCGTCTCCTGGATGTCTGACATGTCCACTGTTTCCATTCATCATTGCTGAAACAGGGAGCCTGTCATTCTCCCACTAGACCAGCAGGGCTGGGGCTATTGTGAGGCAGGTGGGGCATCTAGGGCACACAGCTTAAGGAGGCACTCACTCTCAGGTCACCCAAGTGCAGATCCTGTAGGTGGGTGGCCCTGGGAGTGAGTGTTTTCTTAAGAGTGAGGTGCCTAGGGCTTCTCACTAGCCTCATCCTAGCCCAAGCCATGTAGATCAGCTTTGAATAAGTTTTTGATACATGACGTGTACCTTTCATAAAGATGCTTTCAGAACCTCTTCAACAGCTCCTTGCCATTTATTGTTTCCATGCATGCGTATGATGTCTTACTTCAACCACTCATAACTCCCTGTCAGAGGGTTTATCTGATTACAAAAGTATGTGTATGTAGGTAGTGCATGCAGCAGCCTGAAGTTGTCAGAGCTGATATCCTAGGAGCATATTTCAATCAATGTCAGTTAGGACTTATGGATAAACACCACAGCTTCCTTACTTATCAAGCTGTCCACCAAGTGAGACAACTCTGTGATGTACTGCATACAAATTGCTGAGTCCGCAGCAGGACTGAGACCCAGTTGTTTACAGTGGGAACATCCTTATCACCATATACAGTGGTAATGTGCTCATTAATGCAACCTACACTGGCTAGTATCCCTTCCTGTCTCACATTTCCACTTTCCTACTGGTGCTTTCTGGGACCTTCTTCCTATTGAAAAGTAACCGTTTCTGTCTTTATTTTCCTCTACATTTCTGTTAGCTCTTGATTATGTCTCACTTTCTCTGGGCTTTGTTGCCTATTATTCATTGATATTTACTATCAGTTGTGGAAACCCAGGTGAAGCTCAAGACCCTGACTACACTTGAGTCTCAGAATTATATCTAGAACTCCTGCTTCCTTTTCTACCCTGTATTAACACTCCTTCGTCTCTTTCCAGTCTTTGCATGTTCATTGTTTTCTTCCCTATCCTTATAAATGCGGTAAAGAAGATGTGTTAGTCCATCCTCATGCTGCTTTAAAGAAATACCAGAGATTGGGTAATTTATAAAGAAAAGAGGTTTAATTGGCTCACGGTTCCACAGGCTGTACAGGAAGCATGATGCTGGCATCTGCTTGGCTTCTGGGGAGGCCTCAGGAAACTTATAATCATGGCAGAAGGCAGAGGGGAGGCATACACATCACATGGCTGAAGTAGGAGCAAGAGAGAGTGGGAAGGAGCTGCATACTTAAAAATTTTATTTAATATACTTTAAGTTCTGGGATACATGTACAGAACATGCAGGTTTGTTACATAGGCATACATGTGCCATGGTGGTCTGCTGCACCCATCAACCTGTCATCCAGGTTTTAAGTCCCACATATGTTAGGTATTTGTCCTAATGCTCTCCCTCCACTTGCCTCCCCACCCCTTGACAGGCCCCCATGTGTGAAGTTCCCCTCCCTGTGTCCATGTGTTCTCATTGTTCAACTCCCACTTATGAGTGAGAACATGTGGTGTTTGGTTTTCTGTTCCTGTGTTAGTTTGCTGAGAATGATGGTTTCCAGCTTCATCCATGTCCCTACACAGGACATGAACTCATCCTTTTTATGACTGCATAGTATTCCATGGTGTATATGGGTCACACTTTCTTTATCCAGTCTATCACTGATGGGCATTTGGGTTAGTTCCAAGTCTTTGCTATTGTGAACAGTGCCGCAATAAACATATATGTGCATGTGTCTTTATAGCAGAATAATTTGTAATCCTATGGGTATATATCCAGTAATGGGATTGCTGGGTCAAATGGTATTTCTGGTTCTAGATCCTTGAGAAATCACCACACTGTCTTCCACAATGGTTGAACTACTTTACACTCCCACCAACAGTGTAAAAGCATTCCTATTTCTCCACATCCTCTCCAGCATCTGTCATTTCCTGACTTTTTAATGATCGGCACTCTAACTGGTGTGAGATAGTATCTCATTGTGGTTTTGATTTGCATTTCTCTAATGACCAGTGGTGATGAGTTTTTTTTTTTCATATGCTTGTCACATAAATATCTTCTTTTGAAAAGTGTGTTCATATCCTTCACATAATTTTCGATGGTTTTTTTTTTCTTGTAAATTTGTTTAAGTTCCTTATAGATTCTGGATATTAGACTTTGTCAGATGGATAGATTGCAAAAATTTTCTCCCATTCTGTAGGTTGTCTGTTCAGTTTGATAATAGTTTCTTTTGCTATGCAGAAGTTCTTTAGTTTAATTAGATCCCATTTGTCAATTTTGGCTTTTGTTGCAGTTGCTTTTGGTGTTTCAGTCATGAAGTCTTTACCCATGCCTATGTCCTGAATGGTATTGCCTAGGTTTTCTTCTAGGGTTTTTATGGTTTTAGGTTTGACATTTAAGTCTTTAATCCATCTTGAGTTATTTTTTGTACAAGGTGTAAGGAAGGGGTCCAGTTTCAGTTTTCTGCATATGGCTAGCCAGTTTTCCCAGCACCACTTGTTAAATAGGGAATCCTTTCCCTCTTGCTTGTTTTGGTCAGGTTTGTTGAAGATCAGATAATTGTATATGTATGGTGTTATTTCTGAGGCCTCTGTTTTGTTCCATTGGACTATATATCTGTTTTGGTACCAGTACCTTGCTGTTTTGGTTATTATTGCCTTGTAGTATAGTTTGAAGTCAGTTGGCATGATGCCACCAGCTTTGATCTTGATCTTTTTGCTTAGGATTGTCTTGGCTATACAGACTCTTTTTTGGTTCTATATGAAATTTAAAGTAGTTTTTTCTTGTTCTGTGAAGAAAGTCAATGGTAGCTTGATGGGAGTAGCATTGAATCTATGAATTACTTTGTGCAGTATGGCCATTTTCACGATATTGATTCTTCCTATCCGTAAGCATGGAATGTTTTTCCATTTGTTTGTATCCTCTCTTATTTCCTTGACCAGTGGTTTGTCGTTCTCCTTGAAGAGGTTGCTGACATCCTTTGTAAGTTGTGTTCCTAGGTGTTTAATATTCTTTGTAGCAATTGTCAATGGGCGTTCACTCATGATTTGGCTCTCTATTATTGGTGTATAGGAATGCTTGTGATTTCTGCACATTGATTTTGTATCCTGAGACTTTGCTCAAATTACTTATGAGCTTAAGGAGTTTTGGGGCTGAGATAATGGGGTTTTCTAAATATACAATCATGTCATCTGCAAACAGAGACAATCTGACTTCCTCGCTTCCTATTTGAATACCCTTTATTTCTTTTTGTTGCCTGATTGCCCTGGCCAGAACTTCCAGTGCTATGTTGAATAGGAGTGGAGAGAGAGGGCATCCTTGTCGTATGCCAGTTTTCAAAGGGAGTGCTTCCAGCTTTTGCACAGTCAGTGTGATATTGGCTATGGGTTTGTCATAAATAACTCTAATTTTTTGAGATACATTCCATCAATACCTAGTTTATTGAGTGTTTTCAGCATGAAGGCATGTTGAATTATATTGAAGGCCTTTTCTGCATCTATTGAGATAATTATGTTTTTTTTTCCCGTTGGTTCTGTTTATGTGATTGATTGCATCTATTGATTTGCATATGTTGAACCAGACTTGCATTCCAGGGATGACGCCAACTTGATTGTGGTGGATGAGCTTTTTGATTTGCTACTGGATTCAGTCTGCCAGTATTTTATTGAGGATTTTTGCATCGATGTTCATCAGGGATACTTGCCTGAAATTTTCTTTTTGTGTGTGTGTCTCTGCCAAGTTTTGCTATCAGGATGATGCTAGCCTCATAAAATGAGTTAGGGAGGAGTCCCTCTTTTTCTATTGTTTGGAATAGTTTGAGAAGTAATGGTACCAGCTCCTCTTTGAACTACTGGTAGAATTCGGCTGTGAATCTATCTAGTCCTGGGCTTTTTTTTTTTTTTTTTTTTTTTTTTTTTTTGGTAGGCTCTTAATTACTGCCTCAATTTCAGAACTTGTTATTAGTCTATTCAGGGATTTGACTTCTTCCTGGTGTAGTCTTGGGAGGGTGTATGTATCCAGGAATTTATTCATTTCT